CTCAACAACTAATTAATCAAATTTGCTAAAAAATTTTTTATTTTAATCTTGAAATTATATAGAATTAAAATAAAAAATTTTTTATTAAATTAGATAAGATAATTGCCAAGATATTTAAGCCTAAAGTCAAGAAAACTTTAAAATTTGTCCCTTTCTATTGACTCACCTCTATATAGAGATTAAGCTTGGATAAGGGTTACCCAGGTAATCCATATAATATTTCTTAATTGAGTCATGGTTATGCTACCTGGGTAACCCAGATAAAAATAGATGACAGTTCGAATATATCTGTATATTGGTTTATGATTCAGTTTTATATCATTTTTTGTAATTTGACTCTAGATTTGTAGATTTAATCCTTCTTTAGTTGGAACAATGAACCGAGGGAAAAAAATTAGTATGATATAATAAAATAGTAATCATATTGTAATCAAAAGTTATGACATTTACATATTATGCGGGTTATAACTGATAATAAATCAGAAAAATTATTTTGTTATACATTTTATACAGATGACATATAAGTATCATCAGAAAATTTAATTACCGGTACGTACAACATTTACTATACGAAGTAATTACTATAATTGCAAAAATTTACCTTCATATAATCAAATAAAAAAAAACTAGTCTAAAACTCTCGTGACAAAGGGAAGAGTACAAATTACAGTGAAAGTGTAAAATTAAAATTTTCAATAAAATTTGATTCGAATACTTAAAGATTTTATTATTATTATTATTAATTGTGAGAGAGGTTAGTCCAACGTGAGGCTAATTAGTATTTTTTATATTTAATAATCACTGGCGGACTTTAAATTCTAATTGACCTCATGTTGGAACCAACCTCCCTCACATTTGATTATTGGAAATTGAAAATTGTCATATGTATTGCTTATATCATATTTACCACATTTAAATAAAGTATCGCTTACATTATAACTACTACATTTATAATAAATTAATTGCAAGCATTTTATATAAATTGAGAATCGCTTGATATTATATTGTACATTTTATATAAATTAAAATCGCTTGATATTGCAAGCATTTTATATAAATTGAAATCGCTTGATATTACATTGCACATTAAAGTTACAACAAATAAAAAAAATAAAATCTCAAGAAGAATCTAGTTCGAGCCTTCAAAAAAGCATATACACTAATGAAACTGATAGTGAAAATGATAGTAATGATACGTCTTCAATTACAAACATATTAACTGGACCTAAAAAAAAGAAAAATAGAAGTAAGAAAGTTTTGTATAGAAATACTTTAAAGTAATTGAGAAAAAAGATGAAAAAAAAGATGTATGTCAAGTTATAATTAAAAAAAATGAAGAAGACAAAAAATATGAAACAGAATACTTCCATGACAATTCAACATCGAATATAATTTTTTTTTTTTTTTTTGGTATTAAGGTGACCTCTTTGGTCTGGGAAACTTTTTATTAGAATATAGATGGAGTTTTATATATAATTACAACAATGGTACATCAAGCCACACGTGCACCTTTTAAGTGCCTATTTAAGTAGTTCAGCCGAAGGTTTTACACTATCTGCCATACCTGTACCCCAACTAGGGGGGTACCCATTTAAACTATCTGGTTCTAACTACCTCCATCAGCCCTCTAACCCTAATGGGTTTCCTTACTATTCATATGCTAGATTTTGGTATCACCCAATTTGGATTTTGCACCCTATCTTAGAACACTTAACTATCCTTGAGGTAAACCTAACACAGAGTACATGTCCTACATATGTATTCATGTACTTGTTTCTATAACTTCTTTCTAATTAATACATATTGACCTGCCATTCTATATTTGTATCTCATGCCACCTTTTGGGGTGCTGCCATTCTACAGACGTTTCTTAAGTACCAATCTTTCTAATTAGGCACCCATTACATACTCCTTGCCCTTATTCAGTTCACAACAACCCCAATACCTACATTTGGACCGTCTTCTTACCCAGATTCTCTATCAGTCCCTCCCTTACTTCCAGCCAGCAATCCGGAAGGATCAGTCTGCCCAGGCTTTAGGTGCTTCATGATCACCCTCCCCTTGGTCCATACTTTCAGAGCATATGCCCTTTTTCTCTGATACATCAGCCTAGCAGTTCAGCTGGTGTGTTCTCCCACTTAAGGATCTGATTGCTCGGTTTTCCGATCTTGGGTCTCGGTTCGAATTTAGCCCTCTAGTGATACCGTCAAAGATCACTGCTATCTTCAAATTCGGGACTTGCCAAATAGGTTTTCAGTTATTCTGGTTTTTTAGATTTATTGTGCCAAAGCTCTTATAACTAGATGGTGTAACTGAGATTACAGATTTCTAGGTCCAACTAATAATCGACAATCATAAACCATAGCATAGGCTATTTTTTAAAATTTAGAATTCATGGGATTTGAACTCTAGACCTGTCACTTGAAGAGAGTGATGACTAGACTACTACACTAAGTCGCCGCACCTCTAACATCAAATATGATTGCTTATCTAAGATCGCATAATATCATAAATAATAAAAAACTAAAATCTGAAATACAACAAAATAGGCAAGCTACATTAACTAAAATAATCTGATCTAATACTCCACATAAAAGCAATAAGTAAAGAGAATTAAATAAAGGAGTTGTCAAATGGATACTTCTTGATAATTAACTACTATCAGCACCAAGAAAAAAAGGATTTTGTCGCATGATAGCGAAAGTTGATCCAAAGTTTCGCCCACCTTCTGATAAAGTAATAAGAAATGAAATAATATTTAGTTATTTAAAAATGTTGACACTCTTTGGCATGAGATTGAATTATCCTGCAAAACTGCTACAATAACATCTGATTTGTGGACTTTGTATAACAACCAAGGCTATATTGGAGTTACTTGTTATTAAATAACTTCTAACTAGCTATTATGCAGCATACTATTATGTTGTAAAAAATTATCTTACCCACATACTGCAGAATTTATTTATCAATTTATTCAAACAAAGTGTTTTGAATATAATTTAAAAAATAAAATTATATGCGCCATTATTGATAATGGCACAAACATGATAAAAGCTATTCAATTATGGAACACTATCACCTGGCTTCCATGTGCAGCACATACTCTATAGTTAATAGTTAGTTCTTCCTTAAAAAAAATTAACTCTAAAACTAAAAAATTAAAAAGTTGATTAATTTCTTTGATTTGCCTAAGCAACAAGAAAGACTAGAAAAGGCTCAAATAAGAGTAATGGAGAGAGATAGATTACTTTCACCTAATTTAATTAATACTGAATCTTATTTTGAGGAAGAAGATCCTGGCGAAGTTAATAATGGTGTTAGTACAGATACAGAACAACTAAATATAAATGTTACTTCAAAACCTCTTCATCTACTTAAAGATTGCCCAACTAAGTAGAACTCCACCTATAAGTCTTGGGAAAGGCTTTTAAAACTAAAGGATGCAATCATATAGTTAGAGGCTAATTTAAAAATTTTGCAAAATTTAGATGATAAAAATGACAGACAAAATCTCGCTCGCTGTTTACCTGATGAGGTTAATTGAAGAATTAGTTAAGATCTTTGAACTATTCGACCAAGCTACTGAAGCATTTAGTGCTGAAAAGTACCCTACATTGTCAGTTGTGTATTCTATTATTGAAGTTTTAAAATTTGAATTTGCAACAAATCTAAATTTAACTTCAATTGAAGATGATTTTAATGAAAAATATGGGAAATTTTAATAATTATTATTTTTTTTTATTATAAGTTATTACCAAAATATAATAATATTTACCTTTTTTTTTTTATAATTAGATAGCGATAGTGATAGTGATAATGAAGAAGCTCAAACACTAGAAATTTATGATATCCAATTGATAATTGCTTGTGTTAAGCAAGCAATTTATAATTCTCTTTGGAAATATTGGGGTAAACCAAAGTATACTGGTCTTTTAGCTATTTTACTTGACCTTTGGCTTAAAAAAATGTGTTTTTGGCCTAGTTATCTACATGAAAAAACAATAAGAATATGCTGTAAAGAACTCGATAGCATTACTGATACAATACCTATACAATCCACTTCTTTTACCAGTACTATTTTAACTAACTGTTATTTTGCATCAATATTTGATGATAACGATGATGATAATCTATTAAATACTAAGAATGAACTAGATAAATATTTAGAAGTGCCACTTGCATCACCATCAACTCGACCTTTAGAATGGTGGAAAGAATGAGAAAAAGGCTTTCAAAATTTAAGTAAATTAGCAAAGAAATACTTATCTATCCCAGCAACTTCGGTGCCAAGCGAACGCTTATTTTTAGATGCGGGAAATCAAGTAATACCAAAACAAACACGTCTTAGTTCAGAAACCGTTTCTCAAATATTGTTTCTACAAAGAAATAGTGAATTGATTAGTATTACATAAAAAAATTTATTAAATAATATAAAATTCTTTTTAGATTTTCATGCTATTTATTAGTTAAATATATATAAATCATTGATTATAGAGTAGGTTTATCTATATTATAAAAACTTTAAATAAAAACAATTAAAGGCTTGTTATAAAATACCATATAATAGTTTCGGAATTATGCTTGAAGTTAGATTGAAGTTAAGGTTTACTAACTGAATTATCTTCAAAATTAGATCTTACATTTACAGTACTGTATTGGTGATTTATCATCTAAAGATTAGTCAGGTTAACCGGATTACTCGGGTTATCCAGGTTAACCGATTGTTATCTGGTTAAGAGTTATTTAAACAGGTGGGTAACCCAGAGTAGAATTTTATAGTGGGCCTAATCACTACCTATATATAATTGCTTTCAATAAAATTTAGAATTAGTGTTAAAAAATTAAAAATTATTTTTTTTTATATATAATATAATATAGAGCTAATATAAATGTCGATAGAGTCTAATCTTAGTTTTTAAAAGGTTTTTTGGAGTTCTAAACATTTTTACTTAGAAGAGAAATAGAACCTATAGTGTAAAACACCATAGGTGCATTTTAGTAAAAGTTAATATCTTTACTCTTATTTTAAAATTTTAAAATTTATATATCTGCAGACTGGGCCAAGCTAAAAATTTAAATTAATTAATGCGAGCCAGGCCAGGCTAGCAAAAAATTTTTAACCCTAATTGCGGGCAAGCTCGGGCCGCAAAATTAGAAATTTGCAGGTTTCTATTTTGAGTTCTATAACCTCAAACTAATAAGGGCAAAAGTATATAATAAGCAACTAATTAAGAAAGAAGTAGTTTAAAATATAACTGTAAAATAACAATACTCCAAAAGGTAGCATGAGATACAAATATAATATGATAGCTCAACAGATACTAATTAGAAAAAAGTTATTGAATATGTAAACAAAAACATGTATAGAACATAGATCATTTTGTTAGATTTATCTTATCCCTTAATTGGTAGAGATTTGCAGGCAAATTTGTTTGCATAATTACTATAAATATGTCTCTGATTTACTTTTTTAATTATTTAAAATATTTAAATAAAATTTAACATGATA